TGTGCAGTGTGTCCCCACTTGTTCTTCAGTGGCTCTCCAGTAGGATAGACTCTAAACTTTGGAGTGAGAAATACTGCTAGGTTAGCAAACATCCATGTTTCCCCAAAGTGGGGATTGTGGCGAGGGTGCATGCATATTAGACAAGAGCTCCACACCGAGTTACAGTCCCAGCCAAGTGAACATTCCCGAGAAGACTGAGAATACCTATGGTTTCTGTTTGTTTCAAACACACACACATGCACACACACACACACACACACACACACACAGAGGCACTGTAATGTAATAACTAATAAATATGTAATATTTATTATATGTAATAACTAATAAATAAATATAAATATTATAAAAATATGATATACTCCCTGTCCAACTTCCAATGTCAAGTCCCTTGTATCTCCATTTGTGATAGAATCTTTGCAGAGGGAAACTTTTTGTTTTTATTTTTATTTTATGTGTATGGGTGTTTTGCCTGCATGTGTGTCTGTACACCATGTTGAAACAAGGGTCTCATTCTATATATAGCCCAGGCTTGCCTGGAACTCATCTTTGGCCTCAAACTCACAACAGTCCCCCTGCCTCAGCCTCTCAAGTGTGCAATTGCAGGAGTCAGCCACCATGTCTGACTGATAGCTCTCAGACATCACTCTTCTCCTTCAGGCCTCACATGGATTTTTGTTGCTATATTCTCATTGTAATAGACCCCTTCTCTTGATGGACACTTGAATTGTCCCTCTTTCTGCCAAATTGTCACTCTGCTGTGCTTGAAAGTTTCTGAGTGAGCATGGCAGCACAGTTCTGAGAGGCAGAGGTAAGAGGGTTACCAAGTTTGTACCCAGCTTGGACTACATAGTGATTTCCAATTTGCATAATGAGAACCTGTCTCAACTAAACATAAAAACTATATGAAAAGTCTTAAATTTATGTTTCTATTAATGCTTTTAATTATAGCCAAATTTGTTTCTAAAAGAGTTATACCTGTTTAATTTCTGGCTTGGTGATCTCAGTCAGGTAATTCGTACCTCAGTTTTTCTTCTATAAAATGGGGAGAACATCCTCCTCTTGAGATTATGCAAAGATGAGAGAATTTATGGATGATGAGAACTGACATCCTTCCTGGCATGTGACAAGTGCCTGGTAAATTGTAGCTGCTGCTTCTTTTCCTGGAGGAATGCGGCACTTTCAAAAAGACTATAGCTATTTGTTTTTTCTCTTGGGGAGCAGAGAAAGATTTTTTTGTTTTGTTTTGTTTTTTGTTTTTTGATGACAGCTATTCGCTCAGTAGCCCTGCTGGCCTGGAATTTACAGTGTAGGCCCAGGCTAGCTTTGAATTCCTGATTACAAGTAGGTGCCACTACTCTCAGCTTTTATTTGGTTTGGGGTTTGAGACAGGGTCTTATGGGTAACTGAAATATAACCTTGAATTTCTGAACTTTGTGTTTCTGTCTTAAATGCTGTGAAGACAAACCAAACCCTTGGTTCTGGTTTTGCTTTGAGATGGTGCCTGTGTGGACTTAGTTTTCGGTGTAACCTAGGTTAGCCTTCAATTTTCTTTTTTAAACAAATTCATTTTGCTGGGTAGTGGTAGCACACACTCCAATCTCTTGAGTTCGAGGCCAACTTTGTCTACAGAGTGAGTTCCAGGACAGCCAGTGCTACACAGAGAAACCCTATATCCCAAAATCTTAAAAAACTAAAATAAAATACATTATGTATATTAGTGTCTTGTCTGCATGTGTGTCTGTACATACATGCCTAAGACCAGCAGAGGCCTGAAGAAGGCCTCAAATCTCCTGGACCTGGAGTTAAGGACAGTTTAAAGCTGCCAAATGGCTTCTGGGAACCAAACCCTGGTCTTCAACAAGAGCAACAAGTGTGCCCCCCCCCCCCCCTGTTTCTCTGTGGCTTTGGAGTCTGTCCTGGAACTTGCTCTGTAGACTAGACTGGCCTGGAACTCACAGAGATCCACCTGCCTCTGCCTCCTGAGTTGCTGGGATTAAAGGCCTGTGCCACCAACGCCCAACTGCAACAAGTGCTCTTAACTGCCATCTCTCCATCCCCTGACTATCAACCTTTTTTTTTTTTTTTTTAAGAATATTTTGTGTGTGTGTGCTCTCGTGTGCGTGTGTGCGTATATGAGTGCAGTACCCTAGAAGGCTAAAGGCCAGGGTTTTTAGGCAGTTGTGAGTTGCCACATGGGAGCTAGGATTCAAACTCAGGTTCTCTGGAAGAGCAGCAAGCTCTTCCCTCTTAGCCTTTGAGCCATCTCTCTTGCCCTCAGCTTTCAATTCAATGCTTGCCTTCACCTCCTGATTGTTAGGACTACAGGGGAGCACACCAGGCTTTTCTCCTTTTGTAACATAACCTCTATCATCTTGGAGTCTGTCTCTTACTGGATAAAAAACGCTCACCCAACTTGAGTTCCTATTCACAACATGTATGATCTGTTTTGTGTCTCAATGCCTACTTTGGGGACAAGTGCTTAGTGTTTGGACTGCTGCTCTAGCTTTGTAGCCTGAGCCTACTTCATGGCCCAGCTCTGCCCTTTGTTGTGCAGCCTTTGCTTGTTCCAGTCCTGCCCTCAGTTATAAAGTGAGAGAATGCCTCCTTGAATATGGTGGCAGGAACCTGAGTGGCAGACCTGAAGGCAACAGCTATAGGCTTTTCTTTCCTTTCCTTTTCCCTTCTTCTTCCTTTTCAGTCACAGTCACACTGTGTCCCAGTCTGTCCTTGACTATTCCATTCTCCTACATGAATCTCCCAGGTGCTATCTCTTGTCAGTTCCTAAGTTCTTGGGAAATGGCATCAGGGAACCTGGGAAATTAGAGGGAAATTAGAGTGTGAGCCTTTGTCAAGGGGTGATTTGTTTGTGTGTCAAGAAACATACTTGGGCAGTCATAGAGATACAATGAGTGAGAAAATGGGCAAGGAGAAACAGATAGTCATCAGAGGACATCCAGATGACTGTCAGTGTCTAAGATGCTGAGTCATGGCTTGGCAGTGGTGGTGCACACCTTTAATCCCAGTGCTGTGAGACAGAGATTTCTGAGTTTGAGGCCAGGCTGGTCTACTGAAGTGATTTCTAAGATAGCCAGAGCTAAACAGAAAAACCCTGCTTGAAAAACAAAACACCAGGGGGCTGGAGAGATGGCTCAGAGGTTAAGAGCACCAATTGCTCTTCCAGAGGTCCTGAGTTCAATTCCCAGCAACCACAGGTGGCTCACAACCATCTGTTATGAGATCTGGTGCCCTCTTCTGGTGTGCAGATATACATGGAAGCAGAATGTTTTATACATAATAAATAAATAAAATCTTTAAAAAAAAAAAAAAACAACAACAACAAAGATGCCTAGTCTCCCTGATAATTAGAGAAGTGTAAATTAAAACAGCCAGGAAAGCCTTGGCTGAGACCTTGGCTACCTAGGGCACTCAGCTTCTGTAGGGTCCATGTGAGTTAGTGTGTCTCTCTTCCTGGTGTCATTCATTCTAAGAGACCACTCTCCATGCCTAGTAGTGTCCATTGCCTCATTGTTGCAAGTATAAATCCACGAACAGCCTAATTGCCCAGACTGTAGAAGGAGTTAATATGCTAGAAGATTAGAGACGAGATAGCTCAGAGGGTAAAAATGCTTGCCAAATAGTTAAATGTGGCATGAGTGAGAGCTTGAATTCAAATCAAGAGCACTGACTGCTCTTCCAGAGGGTCCTAAGTTCAATTCCCAGCAACCACATGGTGACTCACAACCATCTGTAATGAGATTTTGTGCCCTCTTCTGGCATGCAGGCGTATATGCTGGCAGAACACTGTATACATAATAAATAAATCTTTAAAAAAAAAAAAGCTGCTGGGTAAGGGACTGGAGAGATGGCTCAGATATTAAGAGCACTGGCTGCTCTTCCAGAGGTCCTGAGTTCAATTCCCAGAAACCACATGGTGGCTCACAGCTATCTCTACTGGGATCTGATAACTTCTTCTGGCATAACTATGTACATGCAGACAGAGTACTCATACATAAAACAATCAGATCTTTAAAAAGGAAGAAGCTGCTGCATAGAACTGGTGTCTATAATCTACTGGGAAGACAGGTAAGAATGTCCTGGTAACTTAAGGACCATCTAGCCTGAGTCAAGGTAGGAGATGAGGACCAAAACCTGAGGTTGTCGTCTGCACACATGCATTCACACACATGAGCGTGCACATACACAGCTGTGTCTGTACACATTGTATACAAGAATGCATATGCAAGAAGTTGAGAGACAGGAAAGAAAGGGCTGGTTTCCCTGTGGCTTTGGAGCCTGTCCTCGAACTCACAGAGATCCACCTGCCTCTGCCTCCCAAGTGCTGGGATTAAAGGCGTGTGCCACCAACGCCCGGCAGGAAACAGCTTTAAATTCAATAGAATTCAGGTAGTGGCATGGGTTTATAATTCCCAGCACTCTGGGAGGTAGGGACAGGAGGATTCTAAGGATCTCTCTAGGCCAGCCTGGGCTACATAGAGACTCTCTGAAAAAACAGTAGAGAGGTGGATCATTAGTTAAGAGCATTTGTTGCTCTTGCAGACAACTGGAGTTTGATTCTCAGCACTCAGGTCTGGTGGTTCTTAACAGCATATAATTCCAGTTTGATAGCTGCATACATGCTATACATATGCACACACCCATATAAATAAAAATAAAGTATTTAAAAACATATGGAAGGTAATCAGCAAGGAGAGTGAAAGTGCAGTGGCTGCAAATACACCTCAGAGCTGTTGCACGTCGACCATGTGTGATGTCCTAAGTTCAATTCCTAGTACCAGGGGAAAAAAAAGCAATGACAGGTTAGAGACAGGGGTAAGTTGGTGGTTTCCAAGGACTAGAGGGAGGGTGCAGTAGGGAGAAGATGCTTAATAGGATCAGGGTTTCTTTGGCATGATGGAAGTGGTAGTGATTGCATTGTCCTGTGAGTGCACTAAATGTTACTGCTATATGCCTAACAAGCTAAAGTGGCAAGTTTTATGTTACATATTTTACCAAGATTAAACAACAATGTACCCAAAAGTCATTAATTTTTCTATTTTAAAAAGTTTTGCCAGTGTAGGAGGACTGTAATTGATAAGAACAGTATATATTGCAGTTGTTGGGTAGATATGTGTGCTGGGAAATGGTCACCACAGTGAACTCATTAACTTTTTGTGTGATGAGCACATGAACTGTGTTGGATCAGATGGTCTGTGCATACGCAGTGCAGCACTATGAAGCTCCAGTCACTGCGGTCTACAGGTCAGGATATTGATTGTATGGCATTCAAATCTGTTCCCATAAAGCTTTCTTTAAAAAATAATAATAAGCAGGGCAGTGGTGGTGCCCGCCTTTAATCCTGGCACTCAGGAGGCAGAGGCAGGCGGATCTCTGTGAATTAGAGACCAGGCTGGTCTACAAGAGCTAGTTCCAGGACAGCCTCCAAAGCCACAGAGAAAAAAAAAAAAAAGAAAGAAAGAAAGAAAGAAAACGAAAAAGAAAAAAGTAATAAAGGAGGGGCGGGAGAAAAGGCTCAGGAGTAAGAGCACTTGTTGCTCTTGCAGAGGACATTAGGTTCTCAGAAGCCACTCCAGTTCCAGAGATTCTGATGCAACTCTCTGACTTCCTCAGGAACTAGGCATATGTGTGCTCATGCAGGCAAAATGGTCATATACTTATAAAATAAAATCTAAAAAGAAGAAGAGAGAAAAAGAAAAATCAACTGCAAGGCAGCATGGTGGCACAACCTGTAACCTCAGCACTCTGGCTGAGGCAGAGAGATGGAGGTGTTCAAGCCTAACCTGAGCTATTTAGTGAGTCCTAGGCAAGCCTGGGCTACAGAGAGAGACAGTCTCCAAAAACAAAACAAAACAAAACAAAAATTCAGGTTGTAACACATAAAATATCTTTTTTATTTTATAAAGTATTTATCTTTTATGTATGAGTTCTCTGCATGTATGCCTGCAGGCCAGAGAGGGCACCAGATTTCATAATGGATGGTTGTGAGCCACCATGTAGGTGCAGGGAATTGAACTCAGGACCTCTGGAAGAGCAGCCAGTGCTCTTGACTGTTGAGCCATCTCTCCAGTCCATGATAGCATTCTTTAAAAATTGCATAGTCCCTGCCTATTCCCTTAAGGAAAGAGAAATGTCTATATATGCATCTAAATGCAATGCCCAGAGGAGCTGGAGAGATGACTCAGTGGTTAAGTGCAATGGCTGCTCTTAAAGAGGACCTGTGTTTGGTTCCCAGTACCCACATGGTGGCGGCTCACATCCATCTAATAACCTCTTCTGGCCTCTGTGGGCACTGCATGCATGTGATGCACAGAGATACATGCAGGCCAAACATTTATATGAATAAAAAAAAATGAAATAAAATGAAGGGGCTGTAGCAATGACTCTGTGATTAGAAAACACTTACTCCTCTTACAGAGGGCCTGAATTGAGTTCTCAGCATCCACATGGTAGCTCATAACCATCAGTAACAACAGTTTCATGGGATCTGATGCCATCTTTTGACCTCTATGGACACCAGGCATGCACTTGGTACATGTGCATACATGCAGGTTAAACGGTCATATACATTGTGCCTGGAAAGATAGCTTGGTGGTTAAGATCCTTACTTGCTCTTCCAGGACTTATGAATTTAATTCCCAGCACCAACATGGTGGCTCAGAAACACCTCTAAGTCCAATTTCCAAGGGATCCAATGCTCTTGTCTGACCTCTGTGGGCACCATACACTTGTAGTACACAGATACTCACAGGTAAAACACTCATAAACATATGATGAAACAAATCTAAATTTTAAAAACATTAGAAGTAAAATGAGTTGAACAGTGGTGGTCCACACTTTTTAATCCCAGCACTTGGGAGGCAGAGGCAGGTCAAGGCCAGCCTGGTTTTCAGTGAACCACCCCCACCCACACACACACACACACAGACCCCGTAAAGGAAGCAAAATTTAAACATAATGCATAGAAAAGCGAAAACTTTTAGCTTTAGTTGAGATCTGGAGGGTGGTTGTGGGGATGTGTATTCAACTTTTATTTCTATTTTATTTTGGTTTTTTGTTTGTTTTGCTTGTTTGTTTGTTTTCCCTTGAGATAAGGTTTCTCAGTATTGTTTTGGAGGTTTGACCAGGCTGGCCTTGAACTCACAGAGATCCTCTTGCCTCTGCCTCCCGAAGGCTGGGGTAAAAGGCATGTGCCACTACCTGGCATATTGAACTTTTATTAACATTCATGACTTTATAATGAGTCTGGATTGACATATACTAATATGGTTAGAAATAGTTTGGGGAAGCCGGGCGTTGGTAGCGCATGCCTTTAATCCCAGCACTTGGGAGGCAGAGGCAGGTGGATCTCTGTGAGTTTGAGACCAGCCTGGTCTACAAGAGCTAGTTCCAGGCCGGCCTCCAAAAGCCACAGAGAAACCCTGTCTCAAACAACCAAAAAAAAAAAAAAAAGAAAGAAAAAAATAGTTTGGGGAAAAGAAAATCAGTGAGATATAGACTACTTATTTTAAAACCTTTTGTTTTGTAACCATGCTGAAGGATTCTGAGAGACTAATGGAGCAACAAGGTGCATTGCTGAAGCGTCTGGCAGAGGCGGACTCAGAGAAAGCGGTAACCACAATACCCCTTGCCCACTCCCCTGTTCTGCCATTTGTCTGGGTGGTATTTTGTGATCTATAAAATGGGTTGGCACCTGCTTTGCTTCCTTCTCTACTAGACTTATCTAGCTAGTTGATCACTAGAGGGCTCAGGGTACAAAGTGAGAAACCAGCATGAGGGATCCTTAGTTCTCTGGCCCTGTTAAACCTGGATTTGTTTTTTTAATTTCCAGCAGTCAAAAAGTATATGTTGCTAGGTGTGGTGGAATATGCCTTTAATCCCAGTACTTGGGAGGCAGAGACAGGTAGATCTCAGTGAGTTTGAGGCAAGCCTGGTCTACAAAGTAAGTTCCAGGACAGCCAGGATGACAGAATAGAGAAAGACCCTGTCTCAAAAAAAAAAAAAAAAAAAAAGTAAGTACCTTTTTACTAGAAGTCCATCTTAGAATTTTCTTCCAAGGCTGCATGTTCCATGGAACTTGAAGCTGTGCGAGATGTTAGTTCCTGAGTGCAAGCAACCAATAGGAGTCTAGTGGCCAAATAATTTGGGAATCTGTTGGCTGCCCTCAACTTAAAAGTACACCAGACTTTTTAACCTCAAGATGTTGGGAGCCTCTGGTATTGAATGGCCTTATGTGTCTCTGCGAGATGTTAGGAAGTGGAGCTAAAGGCCTTGCTGCCTGACTAGTGATCACCGTGAAGGATACCAGTCTGTGTGTGCCTCTTCCCAGCTTATCCGGCTTTCACACTCTAGTGTGCTTTTCTTAATAAGCCATCTCTAACCAAGGCTCAGAGAGAGAAAATACAGATTTGAGGAAGGAGTTGGGGCATTGACATTGCACTCCCAGCTTAGGAAGAAGCTAAACTAAGCTATGGTGGTCAGGATGCTGGAACATCAGCACCTGTTCCAAAAGATGTGGAGGATTCAGTCATATTGTGATAAATGTGAGATTTGTAGAGTGCAAAACAAAACGCATTTAGTACTTATTTTGAATGATGTGTGGTTATCGCTGGGCAGAAGTGTCAGGGATTCTTTGAGCTTTGTGTTTTTCTATATTTTCCAGTTAACATCAACTTTTTTAAAACTGAGAAACATTCATTCTTTAAAAAAAGAATATAGGCTAGATGCTTCCTACCTGGGTCTCTGACACTTGCCAAGTGGCTTTCTATGTTGAGTAGTCAGGCCCCTCTGCCCGATTCAGAGGCATGTGACTTTTTTCTCCCAGCGCCTGCTGTTACTGCTGCAAGACAAGGACAAGGAAGTGGAAGAGCTTCTCCAGGAGATACAATGTGAGAAGGTACCATGCCCAGCCCCTAAACTGTGTTGAGTCCGTGCTGCTGGGCGCTATGCTAGAGCAGGCTCAATCACTTTTTCTGTCTTCCAAGGCTCAAGCAAAGACAGCATCTGAGCTCTCTAAGTCCATGGAGTCCATGCGTGGACATCTACAGGCACAGCTCCGGTGCAAAGAGGCTGAGAACAGTCGCCTGTGCATGCAGATCAAGGTACTTGCTGGCTCCCAGGTGGGGCAGGAAGAGACTGTCACTCTCAGGTTTCTTATGACTACCTGAGGAAGTCATTAGTCTCAAATGCTTTCCATGTTCCCAGAGTGGCTGCTCTCCTGAGTCACTTGGGTATCTGATTTTAAAAGCTCTCCATGCTTAAAGAGACTCAGAGGAGTCACAGCTCTGGTGTCTGTCCCAATAGGTCTGAGTTCTTCCATCTTCCCCCTCTCTGTTCTCCACTGCCATACTTCCTTGCTGTCTTTTCTACCTCTTCCTTCTTGTCTCCTCCCAGAACTTGGAGCGCAGTGGGAACCAGCACAAGGCGGAAGTGGAAGCCATCATGGAGCAGCTGAAAGAACTGAAGCAAAAGGGAGACCGAGACAAAGAGACCCTGAAGAAGGCCATCCGAGCCCAGAAGGAGCGAGCTGAGAAGAGTGAGGAGTATGCCGAGCAGTTACATGTGCAGCTTGCTGACAAGGTAACAGGCCTGGGCCATGCCTCTCCTCTCAAAAGAGCACCTTTGGTTAGAGTGAATGAGCTGGGAGGGGTGTGGCTGGGGAAATGGAGAAGATTGGAGGGTTAGGACTGTGTAGCACATGCAACTTAAGTGAAGGGTGACTCAGGAGCTGTCCACAGGATGCAGTGAGATGCTGGGAGCCTGGGATCTCAGCTTGGCTTTCTGTACCATTCCCAGTATTCTGTCATCTTGAGAGAGGGAGGCTGGGTCTGTCTTCCTTTTGGCCTGAGTGTTGAAAGCAGGCTGACATGCCCACTGTCCTATGTTCCCAGGACCTTTATGTTGCCGAAGCTTTATCTACTCTGGAGTCATGGAGGAGCCGCTACAACCAGGTTGTGAAAGACAAAGGAGACCTTGAGTTGGAGATTATCGTCTTAAATGAGTACGTCTTTGTGTTAAGAGAGGAACTGAGGGAGGAACTTTGAGAGGGGCAGGTGGAAGGAGCATGGTACCCTGAGGTCTCAAAGCTATTGAGGCTGCTGTGGTCTCTGTGGGTTGGAGTTGTAAACTGCTGAGATGTGAGCAGCCATGTGCCAGGCTCTGGCTCTAGCCCCAGGCTTCTACTGTTCTTGCATAGCACATGAGAGGCCCTGGTTTCCATCCCCTGAACTGTAAATATCTGTAAGTATCCTGGGTGTGTGTGTGGGGGGGGGGATAAGGTTCCCCATCACAGAGGCCTAGTCTAGCCCGAGTCTTTGTAACAGAACATGGGTATACAGTTATCTTGCTTGATTTTGGGGCATGGTACAGCTGGTCCCTGTGTATTCCCCATTGTCTGCCAGTGCTGCCTGCTAACAGGTCAGAGGCAGCAGTAGCCTCCAGGGTGGTATGACTGACTTTGATGTACTTTCTTTCCCAATGGTGGAATATCGGTGACCACTCAATCGTTCCCAGCCATAGTCATTTCTTCCTTCATTGTAAAAGTGTGTGTGGAGCATCTCCCATGTACCTGTGTGCTGGCTGTGGGGCTGCAGCTTGAAGAATACAAATGTATTACCTGCCCTGAGTTCCACTTGAGGTCTTGGGGCTACAAGTTCCTTTGGCCAAGGAGGTAGGGCCACAGGGAGCTAGCAGCCTCCCATTTGAGGACAGCTTTCCTTGGGAAGTATTTGTGTTGCATTCTGCTCAGTTCAGCAAGGTTGAGAACCTGCTGCGCATCAGGTGCTATTCTGAGGGAATTCTCAATCTGGTGGGAGAAGAGAGAGGGAGAGGAAGGTGTAAAGAAGGATACATGGTACAGATGAGGGGTTGAAGAAGGGATGTTCTGAGGAGGGGAGGAGCCTGAGTGAATCTTTAAGGGTGAGTAGTAGGCTGCCTGCTGAGATGCTGTGTTCTGGCTTGGGCCCAGTCAGTGCTCACTCAGTGTTTGCTAAATGGCAGCCTCTAAATGAACACCCTAAGAACACAGCTGTGGTAGACCTCAGTGGGGGTGTTTGCCTAGTGTGTGAGAAGCCCTGGTTTACATCCCCTGAGCTGAAAAACCCCAAATAATAATAATAAAAATTTCAAAGTCCCTGAGAGCAACACAGGGGGTGAGGTGGAGTGGTGGCACATGCCTTCAATCCCAGCACTTAGGAAGCAGAGGCAAATGGATCTCTTGAGCCTGGTCTACACAGTTGAGTTCTGGAACAGCCAGGACTTTTACACAGAGAAACCCTGTCTTGAAAAACAACAAATATGCCGGGTGTTGGTGGCGCACGCCTTTAATCCCAGCACTTGGGAGGCAGAGGCAGGCGGATCTCTTGAGTTTGAGCCCAGCCTGGTCTACAAGAGCTAGTTCCAGGACAGCCTCCAAAGCCACAGAGAAACCCTGTCTCGAAAAACCAAAAAAAAAAAGAAAGAAAAAAAAAAAAAAAGAAAAACAACAAACACAGAGAGTGCAAAGATTGTGTGATGCTGTGAGGTTGAGGTGTGTAAACCCAGAGCCTTGGAACTCTCCCACAAGGCCACAGTCTGTAGATTTAACTGATAGCCTGGCAACAAAGAAGGGAGAGAAAACAGGAAGCCAGCTTCCAGTTGGCTTCTTGACTGTCGCTCAATCATCTCTCACAAAATCTTTACAGTTTTTTACAGTCTTTACAGATAGCCAGGTGTATACACATAGGAACATTGCTGTGGGGACAAAAGCCACATGTGCCAAGTGCCTGGGGGTGAGGACTAACTGGGCAATCCTTACCGACTGACCACCAGCCTGGAAATTGTGGGAAAGATCTCAAAGGACTCTGTCCTAACAACAAGAAAGGATGGGTAGAGGGCTGTCTGGTGATCCTGAAATCAGGGAGGACTGTGTCTCAGTCTTTCGAGATGATCAGAATGGACACATTTAACAGTTATCCTGGCTAAATAGTAGACAGCTTCCAGAGGACATCTCATGGGAACAGTTTTTGAAAGGATATTATGTGGAGGTGGGACAATGATGTGAAAAGGCCACTTCTTAGTATGGAGACTGGGGGCTGAAAGAAAGACAGCAAGCATTGATTCTGTCTGCTCATCTTCCAGCCGGGTGACAGATCTTGTAAACCAACAACAAAGCTTGGAGGAGAAGATGCGGGAAGACCGGGACAGCCTGGTGGAGAGACTGCACCGGCAGACCGCCGAGTATTCTGCATTCAAGCTGGAGAACGAGAGGCTCAAGGTCTGGATGCATCCTGGGAGCTGGGAGGCCAAGGGCAGGCTGACCTCAGTGGGACAGACCTGCCTAGGCTCTTCAGAGAGCTTGGGCAGTGTGCTGATAAAGGGAGTGCTCTGGAGTCAGTGAGTCTGACCTCACTCGCAGTGCTACCTCTTACTAGCTTCAGGGCTGTGCGTGTGTGTTGGGGGTGGTGGGATGGTGGTAATGTAATTAATCATTGCTTTGGCTCCCTGAGTTGGGGAGTCCTGCTGAGAATGTAGTATTATGTGAAATGCTTACATGATGCATTTAGTGAACAAAATTGACTTTGGCTCTTATCATGGCTCTCTAGGGGTCTGCTGGGTACTTCATTTTCATTTTAGCCTTGCAATTGTATGTTGATTGTTTTGGTTAATAAGGAACTTAGACTGGGATGTAGCTTACTTGTAGAGCGCTTGCCTAGCAAGCCTGGGGTTCTACGTTTGATCTCTAACCTGCCAAAGATAATAAATAAAGCAAGGCTTGGCCAGATGGTGGTGGCGCACACGTTTAATTCCAGCACTCTGGAGGCAGAGGCTCTGTGAGTTTGATGCCACAGCCTGGTCTACAAAGAGAGTTCCAGGACAGCCAGGGTTATACAGAGGAAACCCTGTCTCAAAAAAACCAAAATGAGAGATAGAGGACAAAAAAGCAAGCAAGGCTTAGAGAGAGTCACACAGGGTTTTTGCCCAAGGAAGTATTTAGACTTGGGATTTGAAATCAAGAATGATTCTGTAGATCCAGCTATTTATTTGTCTTTAAATACTAAATGTGGCGTTACATACCTGTAATCTCAGCACCGAGGAAATCTGAGGCAGGAGGATCACTGTAAGTTTATAAATTTGAGGAAACTTGGCCTACGGAGTGAGTCCTGTCTCAAACATACTAACCCAAACTCCAAGTAGGCTCTGACTCAGGCCAGAGATCCTGAGCAGAGCTGACACTCCAGAGAAGCTGATTTTCCTTCTGATTTTAGTTTTTGTTAGGCAAGACAAGTGTAACATGGGAAAGTATACAGCTTAACCTTTCAATCACCCTGGAAGGTATGAGCACCCTGTAGCTGTGCCCTTGTAACGGCAGCTGCTGAGTGTTCATCACAAATCCATCTATGTGCTGTAGACTGAGTTCATGTACTCAGCACAGTGTGTATAATTTACACTGTAGGTGGGAGCTGGGAGATGAATTCACTAGAACTTGTCTGTTTTCCTGGTAGTGGACATCTCCTGGTACATGTAGTTGGATATACTCCTTGAAAGAAAATTGTGAGGTCATCTGGTAGTTCAGCCTTAGCAGATGTTAACAAGTGGCAAACAGTTGTATACATTGTTTCCACCGGTGTCAACAGTTGTTCTGTGTCCCCTTGGCAACACTTAGTATTATAAGTCTGTTTTATTTTTTACTGCTTTGGTGGTACAATATCTTTGCTGTGCTGCATTACTAGACATCCTGGAAATAACTTCCAAGGGTGACACACGAGCAGAAGGCCAGCATGGGGGACTATATACAGTGAGATTTAGGTCAACTTAGGATACATAGAGACCCCATCTCAAATACTATTAATAACCTCCAAATCTAACCCTTAGGGATTAATTATAGCATGGTGTATCTGTGTAGAATATACACTGTAGCCATTGAAAGTGTGGTCTGTGGAAGTGCATCTACCTATTCTTAGACAGTCAGATATGCTCATAGGAAATGTTTGAAACATCACAGAAACTAAGGGTGTTGCTCAGTGGTAGAGCAAGCAGTTGACATGCACTAAGGCCCAGGGTTGCTTGTCCAGCACCAGATACAGGTCTCTGTCACAGTGAGTGTCTTTGTCCTGACGGTAACAGTCAAGCACGCCTGCACTCTTCACCCAGCTGATGCTCTGAAGCTCCCTTCTGCTTTCTGCTCCCCCATCTCCCTCTCTTCCTGGCTCAGCTCCCCCATCTCCCTCTCTTCCTGGCTCACTCAATCTGATGCTGAGGACAGAGCTCAGGGCTTTGCACTGTACCATCAGACTGTACTCCCAGCCTTTTCCTTGCTTTAGCCTTTCATTTTTCCTTCCTCCCCACTTCCACCTCCTTTGTTTTTTTTTTTGGATAGTGTATTTTTAAGCCTTAACTAGCCTCAAACTTGCAACAGTCGTGCCTCAACCCATTCAGAGCTGGGGATTAAATATGAGCCACCACTCATCTGTGTTTATTCATTCTCATACTCACTCCTGTTTCCTTTTTATCTGTATATATTGGGGTTATTTGGGGGGGGTGATTTTTCAAGACAGGGTTTCTCTGTGTAGCTTTATAGTTCAGGCTGGCCTTGAACTTACAGAGATCTGCCTGCCTCTGCCTTTGCCTCCTGAGTGCTGGGATTAAAGGCATGTGCCACCAACGCCCGGCTCATATTGTTAATTTTAAAAAGTATTTTTCAAGTTTTAAAAGCATCAAATATGTACTGGGCAACAGTGGCACACACCTTTAATCCTAGCATTCACGAGGCAGGCGAATCTCTGAGTTTGAGGCCAGCCTAGACTACACAGGGGAACACACTACATAGATACACAGAGAAACCCTGGAGAGAAAGAGAGAGAGAGAGAGAGAGAGAGAGAGAGAGAGAGAGAGAGAGAGAGAGAAACCATCATATAATCTTTATTCATAAAAATGTCCAGAACATAGCTGTGTGGCTAAGTCTTGAGCCTTGGGCATATGAGCTTTGTGTTTTATCTTCATTTTCTTTCTAGCATGCTAGATAACTACATTATCACTTGGCTTCACCACTCCTGTTTCCTTTAGAGTTTGTATATTGCTTTTGGGATAAGAAATATCATTTGCTGGGTATTGGTGGCCCACGCCTTTAATCCCAACACTCGGGAGGCAGAGGCAGGTAGATCTCACGACTTCTGGGACAACCTCCAAAGCCACACAGAGAAACCCTGTCTCAAAAAACCAAAAAAAAAAAAAAAAAAAAAAAAAAAAAAAAAAAAAAAAAAAAAAAAAAAGACCATTTATTTGTCATCTCTGTTCAATGGAGGAGTCACATTTAGGAATCATACTTGGAAACTCACTAATGAAAATTGCTATAGAGGGGCATGTTCTTTACTGGTTTCTAGAAGTAGACTAAAGGTCAGGAGGCCCTGATCTTGAACCATCTTTCTGGTTGCTCACAAGCTTTGTCGTCTTTAGGCTAGCTTTGCCCCTATGGAGGACAAGCTCAACCAGGCTCACCTGGAGGTCCAGCAGCTGAAGGCATCGGTGAAGAACTACGAGGGGATGATCGACAACTATAAGAGCCAGGTAGACCCTTGGGTAGCCTGGCCCTGCTGGTTGGCAATTCACCACTAAGCCTCTGAGGGAAAAGGTGGGAGGGGAAGGTTCTGCCCAAGAGCACCTATTGTGGTTTTGTTCCCTAGGTGATGAAAACCAGATTGGAGGCTGATGAAGTGGCTGCCCAGCTAGAGCGCTGTGATAAAGAGAACAAGATCCTTAAAGATGAGATGAACAAAGAAATTGAGGCGGTACTGTCCCCCTTCCTTGCTCTCCTCACTGCCCTGTACAAGTGTCTGATCCCAGTGGCACCCTGTGTGCCCTTAACCCTACCTGATTTAGCTTAACAAGAGTAACTGATTGGTTGGTTCCCACTCCACCCTATGTATGTGTTCTTTTTTTCTCTGTTGTTGTCCCCTCTCTGGCTTTTTTTCTATACTGTGCATTGTTGCCATTTTTTCCTCTGTGTGTGTGTGTCTGTGTGTGTGTGTGTGTGTGTGTGTGTGTGTGTGTGTGTGTGTGTGTGTTTTCTTTTTCCTTTACCTTTTTCTCAAGAAAACAAAGGTCCTCCTGCTTGAGGCATCTAAGTGGACTCAGACACACCCAGTGGCTGGGTATTTGGATACCTATTTTATTCTGCCGGGAACCTTTGTTTTTGTAGCATCTGAAAATGTGCCTCTCATCTCCTCTGGAAGGACCTCCTTCTTCTAGAGCTGTTGGCTGACTGGTGTGTGGTGATTACCTTAAAAATAACCTTGGAGACAGTCTGAGTCAGGCTCAGCATCTGGTTTCTTGAGCAGCTTCCTGCTTGCCTCTGGTCCTCAGTCTTGTTAAAGCTCAAGGATGGAGTAGGGCCAGCTATTTTTAGTTTCCCCCCTGGTATTTGTATCGTTGTGGCTGCCTTCCTAGGGGATTTGGAATTAAACCAGCCTGTAATCCTGGCTTTTCCAGGTTTGAGCTAAGTTTGAGCCCTGTATCCTTAGTGTCCTTTTGTGGTTACAACTGTGCCTTATTATTGTTCAAATAAATTAAATTCAGAGCCCTCAGGATGGTGCTGAATCCCGGTGTTGCTCCTGATACTGCTGACTAAATGAATGGCCACCTCAAATGGCAAGGCAGGCCCACATGTGCCCTGCAAAGATCAGTCGCTTGGCCTGTGGGAGAACAAGCCAACTGCTGTCTGTGGGCTTTGTGAGATCTTTGGAGACTGGGACAGCCCTGCTGTACTCTAGAGGAAGTCCATCCGATTCTAAGTCAGGATCTTGCTAATGGTGTGCTTCTCTTCCTGCTTCAGGCCCGCCGGCAGTTCCAGTCGCAGCTGGCTGACCTGCAACAACTACCTGACATCCTCAAGATCACAGAGGCCAAGTTGGCCGAGTGCCAAGACCAGCTGCAGGGCTACGAGAGGAAGAATATCGACCTCACAGCCATCATTTCAGACCTGCGCAGCCGGGTAAGGGACTGGCAGAAGGGATCCCACGAACTGGCCCGAGCAGGGTCCCGCTTACCGAGATGAGCTGCACGCCCCCCAAGGGAGGACCACTTCCTTTTTCTTGGCTGCCGATTTCTGAAAGGAGTGAGCTATCATCAGTGCTGTGAAATAAAAGTCTGGTGTGCCAAATGCTTTGTGTTGCACAAAATGATTGTAGCTATAGAACTCGCCACTCTAGGAGCCTTTGGGCCCTCCTGCTATGGCCACCCAAGTGCTCCGTGCTCTACCTACTTCTGCCCCGAAAATCTTGGAGCTGTCTTCCGATCCACGGACATAGAAAGGAGACCCAACAGATACCTGGCCATTGCTTGTCCTTTGTTCCATCTTTCTCAAGCTTTAACTGCCTCTCCTTGTTTTCCACAGATCCACTCCACACAGAAGCAAGCAGCCCCTTTGTCCAGAAGCAATCTGTCTCTCAGTTACTGGAAACATGTCTCGTGCCTGCATTGTCCAAGACATCATATGCCACTCATTTTTTGTCTGACTAGGGCAGGTCTCTACCCTTTCTTTTTAAAATCTTTTTTTTTGGAGACTGTACTTACTGCGCATAGCCAAGGATGACCTTACACTCCTACTCTTGCCTCTGCCTCAGAGAATGCTGGGATTGTAGTCATGCAACATTGTGCCCCACTCCTCTCCTGAAGTGTTTGCCTTGGGTAGCCATAAAGCGAAGCTGCTGTTTTGTTTTGTTTGGGGCACCTGCCCCATTCTAGCAGGCTGTCATTTCATCCCCCAGAAACCTAATGCAGTTACATTAATGACAGCCTGAGTCTTAGAGGGGACAAGTGAGTCCCTATGTCACGGGGATACTTAGTATCCACAGGGCTTTGAACCCATTGTCTCAAGACTGTTGAATGTCCTCAAGGTCTCTTGAGCTCTTGTACCTGAGACTCTCACATAAGGCAGTGCTCAAGATAACTTCTCAAACTTGCTGGCCTAAATGAATCAAAGGTGCCCTATTGCCTTGCTGCATTGCTCCATTGAGGGAGATGAAATCAGTGGTGCCAACAACATAATTGGGAAAGTTCAGTGGTTTGTTATACAATGAGCTGCTGTTAACACCTCGTGCCTCTGACAGTCCCAGCTGGGCCTTTGGAGCTCCTGATCAGGGACAAATCACAGTTGTAGCTCTTCAGCATCTAACCTGTGGTCTCCTGGTGTGGGAGGTAGATTGCGCCTGCCCTGCCCCTGCTCTTCTCTCTTCCAGGTTGTTGGTTGCATATGGGACACCTGCTGAGGGCAGCATGCTTCTGTCCTGGGTGTGATGACATCACAGGGAGAAGGGAGAATTCCTTCATTAGTAGCTCTTACGGGAAATTCCCTCGTAAACCAGTCTACGTTCCTGTCATTTTAGATCGAACACCAGGGGGACAAGCTGGAGATGGCGAGAGAGAAACAGCAGGCTTCCCAGAAGGAAAATAAACAACTGAGTCTGAAGGTGGATGAACTGGAGAGGTTAGAGGCACTTGGTCCCATGTCTGTCCTCTTCCTAGGACTTGAGACTTTCTGCCGCTTAGCTGCTTTGCGCTTAGTATGCCAAAGTATTGGAGGGACTCAAGGCCCTGGAAGGTGCTAGGCAGAACTCAAGGAAGAGCTGCTTGCATTTCATTGGTAAGCCTTGTGGGTGAGAAGGAAGGGGACGTCAGCCTGAAGGGGTGCTGTGCGACTGTGATGGAGGCCGGTCTACTGGTAGGCACCATTCCCTCAGAGGCACATTTAGACCAGCAGGGCCTGCCTTGAATGAAACATCCCGAACACCAGTGTGCTGCTGAGCTGCATTCCTACAGCCTCCGTGATCTGACTCTTCTTATTTACAGACTGTCAAAAGCAGCTATAGGGGAGGCTTGGCATCAGAAGCCCTGGCCTTGGGTCCAGTTCAGACACTTGCCTACCTTGTGACCTTGGGTAGATTATTTAGCTTCTGAACCTGTTTCCTCATCTAAGGAAGGATCAGTGTAGGAGTAATCTACCAGCTGAAGGAGTCACGCTAGTCCTCAGTGAGAGGGTCCTCATAAATGGGTCTAACACGTCACGTCACTTAGAGATGAAAAGATAAGCTGGTTGTAGATTGTTTGTCAGCTGGTACTACTCCTATTTTAATTCTATGTATTTGTAGGTATCTGGGAGTATGTGCACAGAGGCCAGAGGCTCAGATCCCCTGCAGCTGGAGTTACAGGCAGTTGTGTGCTGCCCCATGAGCGTGCTGGGAACTGAATTTGGTTCCTCTGCTCTTAACCACTGAGCCATCTCTCTAGCCCCTATCTTTTTTTACCCTGTTTTTATTAAGATTTATTTGTGGGGCTACAGACATGGCTCGGAGGTTAAGACCACTGGCTGTTCTTTCAGAGATCCTGAGTTCAATTCCCAGCAACCACATGGTGGCTCACAACCATCTGTTGTGAGATATGGTGCCCTACTCTGGCGTGCAGGCATATATGGAGGCAGAATGTTGTATACATAATAAATCTTTTAAAAAAAATTTATTTGTGCCCTGCATGGGTGTGAAAGTCAGAGAACAACTTGTGGGAATCAGTTCTCATCTTCTACCATGTGGGTCCTGGGGATTGAACTCAGGTCATGGGGCTTGACAGTAAGCACCTTTACCCACTGAACCATATTTTGCCAGCCCTGCATTTTGGCTCTTTGAGATCATGTCTCAATCTGTGGCTTGCCTTAGCCCCCCATGTACTGGGATCATAGGTGTGATCTACCCAAATGTGAACTATGAGGAAACCAAGCTCAGGGAATGGTGGTAACTTGCCTATATGCACACAAATGGTGCTTACAAAAGCTGCTTCTTATGCTGGGAATTCTTCCTGCAGAACCATGTTAGCACCTTTAAGTAGAGGACCAGGAACCCCAGCATGGTGGCATACCACTAACCCAGTACCTGGGAGGCTGAGGCAGAAGGATTGTTGCCACCTAGAGAGTATCCTGAGTTATGTAATAAGACCCTGTCTCAAAAAAATAAAAATGGGCTGGAGAGATGGCTTTGCAGTTGAGAGCATTGGCTGCTCTTCGAGAGGAGCTGGATTCAATTCCCAGCACCCACATAATAGCTCACAGCTGCCTTTAAACTCCTGTTTCAGAGGATCTGATTCTGGCATACATACTTGTAGGCAAAATACCAACGTATATAAAATAAGAACAAGTTATTAAAAAAACAACAGGACTGGAGAGATGGCTCAAAGGTTAAGAGCACTGACTGCTCTTCAGAGGTCCTGAGTTCAATTCCCAGCAACCACATGGTGGCTCACAACCATCTGTAATGAGATCTGGTGCCCTCTTCCAGCCATGCAGGCAGAGCATTGCATAAATAAATAAATACATACATAAATACATAAACAACCCAGAGGGCTAAGAACTAAGGTCTTATAGGGTCTTAATTGCCCTAGAGGCCAATACAGCCTGCAATGGGGCTAGAACAGGTGGCCTCCTGTGTTGCACTTCTGCTCTGCCTAGCTGGCCCATAAAATGTAGTCAGGTTCAATAGGACTTGCTGTGTTCATTAAGAAGAGGGGAGACAGTAGCCTGAGCTGTGCTGACCTCAATCCTGTTCCTGCTGCTTCCTTTGGGCTCTGCTCCCTTATTCCTGGAATGGACTGATAATGGCAGCCTTCTGTGAGCTGCAGGTTGCTGTTCTCTGTGTGACAACATGTAGGTGGCATCGTGCACAGTCAGTTACCCTTGCAGTCTTCCCTCTCTCTGCACTGTTGGAATTACACAGTCCAGCAGCCACATTCCTGATCTGCAAATACTGTTCTTGTGGAGATTCTTCAAGTGACGAGATCCCCAGCTCAGGGGAGGCGGCAGGTAGGTCATTGCAGGGTCTAATGGAATGCTCTTACCTAGGAAACTGGAGGCCACCAGCGCCCAGAATGTCGAGTTCCTACAGGTGATTGCCAAGAGGGAAGAGGCAATCCACCAGGCTCAGTTGCGGCTGGAGGAGAAAACACGGGAGTGCGGGTCCTTGGCAAGGCAGCTGGAGAGTGCCATTGAAGATGCCAGGCGGCAGGTCAGTCTCTGTCCTAACCTTTCTCAGCCTACTTTCCCATCTGAAGAATGGGTACAGTAGTATCTTCCTCCTGAATACACTGTGAGGATGAAATGGATATCTGTTGTAGAGGATCAGCCCTTTATATGATTGCTCATTTACTTTCTGCCCTCTTGAGACTCACGAAGACTTTTTTACATTTTAGGGATGCTAAAAAAGAGTAGGCAAAGGTGGATAGTAAGTTTCCCTCTAGTTAGCTTCTGTTCTAGGGCCCCAGAAAAAATTTTGCATATTGGTATGCCAGTGGGCTGTGACTCGTTTGTGGGACTGGCCAGCCTTCTCTCTGCAGGGTCAAGCAACCCTACTTCTACCTTGTGTACAGGTGGAACAAACCAAGGAGCAGGCCCTCTCCAAGGAGCGAGCAGCCCAGAGCAAAATCCTGGATCTTGAGACCCAGTTGAGCAGGACCAAGACAGAACTTGGCCAGCTGCGGCGGACTCGTGATGATGTGAGTTGGGCTAGTGGGCAGGGCTTCCTTGGGCTGCAGGCAAAACTGTCTACTTGTGTTTCCATGAATCTCACCTAGGTTACTATCTCCAGTCACCTTGCCACCCTATAAGGTTATTCTGGGTAGACCTCCCTCCCTTTTTTGGTACTATGGATTGAACACAGGGCCTTGACTGTGTTAGGCAAGCTGCTACCACTGAGCTATGGCTACTGTTACATCCCTTCTTTTTTTTAAAAAAAGAACATTTTCTTTTAAGATGTATTTATTATGTATACAATGTTCTGCATGTACACCTGCAGGCCAGAAGAGGGCACTAGATGTCATTATAGATGGTTGTGAGCCACCATGTGGGTGCTGGAAATTGAACTTAGGACCTCGTCCTAAGCCAGTGCTCTTTTTTTTTTTTTTTTAATTGAAATTTATTTATTTATTTTATAAAATACATCAGAATTTTATTGCTTGGAGAATATAGCATATGAAATCACAAGAATATCAAAATGAAAAGTCACTAGGCTTCAAACATAGGATACATTACCAGATGCAGTGAAATATTAATTAACCTGAAGTCTACATCAGAAAGAAAAAGGTATGGGAAAATACCTAAATTGTTTACTTGAGAAACATACACTTAAAACAAAGTAAAAGAATGTTCTAGTACAAATTAAAAAAGCCAACAATGACTTTTTTACGTATATATATATTTATATTTATATAAAAAGACCAATAATGGCAATATGTTATGCATCAATAGCAGCAACAGCTTTTCCAGGTTCTGCAGTCATTTAAACAAAATTGTAGAGGCATCTAGCACTCTCCATTAAAAAAAAAAAAAAGTAAAAG